GGGGTTGTGCCTGTTGTTGTGTCAGGTTCCGCTGTGGTGAGGTCGTGGGCGACAGACGCCGAAGCGGCCGTCGTTGTGGCCGTGATGGAGGAAGAGGAGGAGAAAGGGGAGGAGTGAGGGGTGGTAAGGTCGGTGGCGTCGATGTCGGCTGGGGAGTGGTTAGTGGGTGCACAAGGCGGTGGATTGGGAGTGGGGCTCGGCGGGGTGGGTGTGTCAAGGCTGCGGTCAATTCCGCTCTCGTGGATGCGCATGTGGCCGAATAGACCCATGCGATGAGTGAAGGTGCGAGGGCATTGTGGGCAGTGGAGACGAGTGCGGTGGGTGTAGGTTGGTGCTCCAGGCACTGGTTCGCCAGTCTCTGTGCGATGGATTCGCAAGTGACCCACCAGGCCGATGTGTGAGGTGAAGGTGCGGTCACAGTGAGGGCAGGTGTAGTCCTGATCCTCATCACTGGAATCGGGAGGGTTAGGGGTGGTTGCGGTTGTTGTGTCGTGGTTGGCGATGTGTGAGACGGCAGCCTGAACGGGCACCGCTGGGGCAGTGGAGGAGAAGGGGGAGGATGGAAGTGGTGGAGCAGGAGGAGTGTCAGAGTTAGTTGGCGGCAGAGAGCACGAGGAGGAGGCGGGCGGGGGGACGATGGCTGGGGCAGTTCGAGAGGTGCAGTTGGTTCGAAGATGTCCAACAAGTCCGATTCGTGCCCGGAATGTCCGTTGACATCGAGGACACGTAGGGAGCGGTTGTGCGGCGGCGTTGCGTATTGGGCGAGATTGTGATTTGCGGGCTTCGCGTTTCGCTTTGGCGGCAGCGATTCGGTTGGCTTCATAGATAGCAGCGCCCGTCTTCACTGTTCTCCTCCATGTCGGACGATCGTGAGCGAGCTGTTCCCAGTTGGTCGGGTTGATTTGCAGGCGCTTCAGGGAGGACTTCAGGGTATCCTTGTAACGGCGAATCTGGCCTCCTTGACGGCGAGAACCCGTCGCGACGTCTCCGTAGAAGAATCGTTTGGGTAGTCGCTCGTCGTCCATGCGCACCAGGTGGCCGCTCCAGCGCAATTGCATTTGTTTCAGTATGGCGTAGATGCTGGGGATTCCCGTTCGTTCCAGTACTTCCCTGTCGGGGATTCGATCCTGCCAGTTCAGCCTCAGGATGCGACGAAGACAACTGAGGTGGAAGTGGTTCAGTCGGCGTGCCTGTCTCGTGTACACCGTCCATGTCTCTGCTCCGTACAGTAACGTCGGCAGGATGACGGCCTTGTACATCTTCAGCTTTGTGCTCAGTTGGAGACCATGACGATTCCAAACTGTGCTGTGGAGGCGACCGAAGGCTTGACTGGCTTTCGAGATCCTGTTTGCGACTTCGTCGTCGATCTTGGTGTTGCGGGAGAGCGTACTGCCCAGGTACGGGAAGTTCTCCACCACTTGCAGTTGGGTTCCGTTCACGCTGATTTGCGGCGGCGCGTTGGGGGCTGTGGCTGAGTTGGGCGGTGGTTGGTGCATCACCACCGTCTTCTGCGTGTTAATGACCAGACCGAAGTTCTCGCAGGCGGCGGAGAACAGGTCCATGCTCCGTTGCATCTCCTCTTCCGAGGTGGTGTTCAGGGCGCAGTCGTCGGCGAAGAGGAGTCCGTGCACGGTTGCTGTGGATACACGCGATTGGAAGTTCATGCGCCGGTGATTCAGGAGACGACCGTCCGTTCTGTAGGCGATGCGGATTCCAGGGCGTTCGTTGCGGTAGGCGTCCATCAGCATGGCAGAGAACATAAGACTGAAGAGGGTAGGCGCCAGCACACAGCCCTGCTTCACTCCGTTGGTCACTGCGAATGCCTCTGAGACAGCTCCGTTGTCCGTGACTCGCGCCATCATACCGTCGTGCAGCTGACGCGCCATCTGAGTAAATCGCTCCGGACAGCCAAATTTCTGCATGATCTTCCACAGTCCTTCACGATTCACCGTGTCGAAGGCTTTCGTCAGGTCCACGAAGGTAGAGTACAGGTGGGTTCGCATCTCCTGGCACTTCTCCTGGAGTTGGCGGGCTGCGAAGATCATATCCGTGGTCCCACGATGACGACGGAAGCCGCATTGGCTTTCCGGCAGAAGGCCCTGTTCCAGATGGTTGTTGAGGCGGTTGAGCAGGATGCGAGCGAAGATCTTCCCGGCGATGTTCAGTAGGGAGATGCCGCGGTGATTGTCGCAGACTTGGCGATTCCCTTTTCGCTTGTAAAGGTGCACGATGGTTGCGTCCTTGAAATCTTGCGGGACTTCACCTTGACGCCACTTCTCCTGGAAGAGCGCAGTCAGGTGATCCATCAGTAGGGGACCTCCGTGCTTGTAGACCTCAGCAGGGATTGCGTCCGATCCGGGTGCTTTCCCGCTGGAGAGCTGCTGCACGGCCCTGATGGTCTCCTGGAGAGATGGCGGAAGGTCGAGGTCCGCGTTGGTCTCCACTTGCGGCAAGCGGGCGATGGCGGCGTCGGAGATGACGGAAGGGCGGTTGAGGACGCCTCGAAAGTGCTCGGCCCATCGCTGCAGGATTTGCGTCTTCTCAGTCAGGAGAGTGCTGCCGTTGGCGCTGAGGAGAGGAGCAGTGCCCTTCGTCGGCGGACCGTAGACAGCTTTGATTGCGGAGAAGAAGTTCTTCCATTCGTTGCGGTCCGCGTAGCCTTGGATCTCCTCAGCTTTGCGAGCAGTCCAGGCATCCTGCATCTCGCGCAGTCGTTGCTGGAGCTGTCGGCGACTGCGGTAGAAGGCAGCTTTGTTGTCCTCAGTGGGGTGATCTACGTAGGCTTTGTGTAGGCGATTCTTCTCGGCAAGCAGATTTCTGATGGCGGCGTCGTTGTCGTCGAACCAGTCCTGGTGTTGGCGGGGAGCGCGACCGAGGACGGCGAGCGCCGTCGACTGGACCGTGTCTCGTAGTTGACACCAGCGGTTTTCCACGGAGG